TCTGCTTATTATTGTGGATAAAGGGATTTATAGAAATGATTTTGGGGACTTTAAATATAGAGAGTTTGTAAGTCCACTTGCTTTGAGCCACTAATTTGATCTTTGGATGGATTTAGGACACCCCTGCAAAGGCTCTGAAAGGATAAGTCCCACCCAGTGCTTTGGAGTACTCAGGATATTTGTATTCCAAAAGACTTGCTTAGGGGCAAGATTGACAGATTGAAGAAAGAGGAACTCTTTGGTTTTTTGGAAGTCTTGAATGAGTGGTCTTTGTTAAAGCTGGAAAAAATCTGGCACCATGAAGAAAACTCCTCTCTAGGATTGAACATTAAAGGGAGCCTGTGGGCAGGTTGAAATGCTTGCTAGGTGACTATCTAGATCCGCTTGTTGAGTGGAAGTGGGAGAAATGCAGCAATAAAGAGGGTTTGCCATTGGCCACTGACACATACCCATGGACCTGGTTTACAGGAACTATAGGAGAAGATGAGAGTGGGTTGGCTGGTCTGAAGTTCATGACCTACCACAAGGTCCTAGACTTGTTGAGAATTTGTGATGAGACCATGACCTAAAGGTGAGGTGACCAATGGATGGTCTGTCCTGATTTGACTTTGTTTATGGATGCGGACTTCACAAGTTTCCGACTGCAATGTAGATTCTTCAACTCAAAGGATATGCTTGTCTTCTCAGAGCACTGGGTTGTTATAAGTGGGCAGTAGAGAAATTGGATATCCAAAATTGGGGGAATAAAGGTATGAAGTGGTTGCCTTACAAACTTTTATAGGTGGGGGAATATATTCATAGGATTATAGAATTAAGGTGTTACCTAACTGCAATTGTTAGTATAGGACATTTTGTTTTGTCACTTATAACATGTTATGTTTAAATGAAGATGGAACATATTGAATAATATGCATTTTAATTTTATTCTGTTAGGTACAGATGTTATAACTGTTATTGTTTGTTTGAAAAGTATATATGGTCACAGGGTTATGTGAAAGTGTCAAATGGACAAGGGGTAGTCTGTGATAGATATATAATCATTTGTCAATTTAAGGATTAAGAGTATAGGGGTGGAATCTAACTTGTTAATCAGATCATAGCCAATGAGGCCTCTGTGTGGGTAAGGTCTTCTGAAAATTGTGGGAAATCATGTATTTCTTCCTTGGAAGCAGGAGATGTTTCTCTCTCTCTGCCACTCCCTGGGAGACATTGCAGCTGAAAAGACACATGAAACTACTCTAGTGCCCTGAGCTGGAGAAGCCACATAGACTCACCTGGATGCAATAAGACCTCTGAAGATGGAGAAGCCACGTAGAGACCCCTGCCAGCACTGAGCTGCTTACAACACCACTGGATCCAAAGACCTTCTACCCACTGGCCTGCAATCATCCTGCAATCAGCATCATTGCATATGTTTCATGAGTCTGAAGAGGACTTTATAGATTGTTGTTGGACATGTGGGTTAGTATCAGACTTATGACCTTGAACTGGACTGGGTGGGGATGCGTTATCAATGTTCAATTCCTCTCGTAAATAAAACTCTTTGTTATACATATGCATGTTCCTGAATTCATTTCTCTACTCTACCAAGAATAACACACTGCTCTACCCTTCAGTGCACAGTTCTTGGGACTCCTGGATCCAATCTCTTTTACTTACTCAGATCACCTCTTTTGTCAACTACAGCACTTTCGACTGGTGTGGCTGTAAAAAATGTAGAGTCAGAGAGTTCTTGACTGAATTCTTGTAACTTCTTCCTTACCTTAGTTTCTTATCTGTACTTGGTCCCATACTACTAATTAAAACCTAACATTTATTGAGAACTTTTAATTTTCTAGGCCAACTGGTAGGAAGAGATCCATATTTGTGCCTATTCCAAAGAAAGGTGAACCATAGAGTGCTCGAACCAGAGAACAATATCATTGATATTGCACACAAGTAGATTTTGTTTAAGATGATCCCTCAAGAGTTGCAGCAGATTATTTGTGGGGTACTAGCCTCCACAACTGAATGGATCTAAATGGGCAATTATGTAGTCAAAAGGTAAATTAAGGAAACTTCAGAAAAACCATGGAGACAGGGATGAGAGAGAGGTGGGGGAACTAATGTATTCTCCAACAGGCTTATATAATCTCAGGACATGCAAGCCAATTCATACACATAAGTAACACTAAGGGGATATGCTAGGGGCATACATATGACAGGAAGGCACATGCATAAGAAGATGGGTGGGTTCTACAGTAAAGATGGTGGCTTATCGTTGACTATCCCTCAGTGGGCTTAATCTTTGATGTCTCTGAATTCTTCTTAAGGGGAACAAT